AGTGGGCTCCTGGTCTTTCCTTATTCCTCCAGGGCTCCCTCCAGTATGTGCGGTTCCCTCCCACACTTGGCCCTTGTCCATGCCATAGGCCTCTCCCTGGTGAGGGAAGGTGCCCCACGGGTCGCTTTGCGTCTCCTAGTTGTCAGGGTGACAGCGCCACCCTGTGTGAGGTGCTCGTCCCCAGCCTTCCTGAGCAAGTGTCCACTCTGGCCCCGGCCTCCGCTGGGACCTTCTGTTTCGGCCACACCCAGCTGTGCTGGGGAGTCGCTCCTGGCTGTGCCCTGGGGACTTTGCCTGGCCAGGCCCGGACCCAGGCTCACATGCCAAGCCGAGGCTCTGCCTTGGAACCCATGAGTGTTCTCCAACAGAAAACCCTCATGTTGCCATTCATGAATTCCTGCTGCTGCTTCTTTCACCTGCAAGCGGAGTCCCCAGACTCTTCTCTGAGCGGTGATGGGAGGCTCGTCTGCCTCCTTGTATGGGAGGGTCTCAGGGCTGTAGGGGCAAGTCTGGGTGTCCTGAGGGCTGTAGGGGTGAGTCTGGGTGTCCTCAGAGCTTTAGGGAGGAGTGAATCTGGATGTTCTCAGGGCTGTAGGGGCAAGTCCGGGTGTCCTCAGGGCTGTAGGGGTGGGTCAGGGCTATAGAGGCCAGTCTGGATGTCCTTGAGGCTATAGGGAAGGGTGAGTCTGGGTGTTCTCAGGGCTGTAGGGGTGAGTCTGGCTGTTCTAGGGGCTATATGAGATGTCTTTGTCCAGGTGCGTTTCACTCAAGGAGATGCAGCATCTCCAGCTGAGCTGTGGGCCAGAGTGGGGGTGCGGGGGGATGGTGGGTGAAGTGCTGGGGAATGGGAGAGTCCTGCAGCCCGACTGTGCCCCCGAGGCCTGCCATGTGCCCAGGGGCACTTTTGCTGCGTGTCTCCCTGTCCAACCCCCAGCCAGGCCCGCTTGCTCACAGGCACGCTGGGATCTTTACCTGGGCATGTCCCCGAGTGGCTTCCCCAGGTGGCTCTTGGGTCTGCCCCCCTTAGGAGGCTGCACCCTTCTGACCCTGGTCACAGAACAGGGCAGTGGCCATTGGGGGGGGGTCTTCGGGGGGCGGGTGGGAATCGAGGTGGGCGCTGGCGTGGACTGGCTCTCACTGTCTTCCCACTTGCGCTCAGGAGTACATGCTGCAGGCGGAGCTGACCAGCAACGTCCTGAAGACGGGCGTGGTCCGGTGCTGCGTGGGCCCTTGCAACAATGCCATCCCCGTGGACACTGCGCTCACCATGCGCAAGCTGCCCATCACCTACGTAGGTGCCCGGCAGCTGGGGTTGGGGCGGGTGGCAAGCGGCGGCAGCATCGGCTTCTGGCTCCCCCTGCCGCCCTCAAGTCTGCCTCCTGCCCTGGGGACTGGGGGGTGGCGTGGGCCCTGGATGGGACCTCAGCCCCTGCTTACGTCCCCGTCCCCGCTCACATCCTTCTCCCTGCTCACATCCCCACCCTGTGCCCACCTCCCCCTCCCCATGCTCACGTCCCCCTCCCTGTGCTCACGTTCCCCTCCCTGGCCGCAGAGCAACCGGAAGGAGAATAAGGGCGGCCACTTGTGCCACTCGTGTGCAGAGCAGCGCATCGGGCCGCTGGTCTTCCTCGCCGCCTCGCCCGAGCAGGTGCGCGCCATGGAGCGGACCGAGGAGCACGTCGCACTGCCCCGACACGAGGCTCTGCTCTTCCTGGTCTTCTGAGCCGCCCAGCGCTGGGCGCCAGCACACCCACCATGCGGGGCCAGGCCCGCCCCCACCCCGAGTCCTCCACGTGCAGGGGGATGTTCTTTTGATAGAAAATACAAACCTTTTATGTATTTAAACTTTTATTACCAGATTTCGATTAAATGGGCATTGTAGCACTGGCAGATCACGTTTGACACGTGGCCTTGGGTCCCCGTGCTGGGAAGTCCTTCTCCCGGGACAGGAGAGGGCGGCCAGGAGCCACCCCTCCCTGGGGTCAAGGGCCTCTCTTCGCCTGGCTTACTGTCCCAGCACAGACATGGGCCGGACTGCAGGGTGTGGCCCAGAGTCCCAGACTCACCCAGGAGCTGCGTCTCAGAGCACCCAGGACCCCACGTCCACCTTGTGCCACAGCACTTCCCGGATGCGGCTGGCAGAGGCGGGCTGGCACAGCCTTGGCCCACCCAGGGCCACCGGAGAAAGGCCTGGTAGGGTCAGTGGGTCCAGCAGGGCACCATGGGCAGGTGCCCACAGGCTACTGTGGACAGCTCCGCACTGAGTCTGGCCTCACCCGGGCTGTTGTGGGGTGGCCCCGAGGGAGCATGAGAAGCAGGTGGGGCGATGAGCTGTGGGTGTGCCATCCATGTTTTAATTTGCTGCCACAGAGAACTGGAGCAGGCCTGTGGGGGCCGAAGTGACTGTCCCACCCACGAGTGTGAGTGGCAGGATCCAGCAGGCCAGGCTAGGCTGGGCGGTTCCCAGGCTCCCCCTCTGCTTCGTGGAATGGCCCCGTCATGGGCAGCTCCTCCGGGCTCTCTGTCGCGACGCCCCGGGGCCGGGACCCCCGCCTGCGGAGAAGTCACAGCAATGCCAGGCCCGCATGAGGCCCGGCTCAGCTGGCAGTGGTGCATAAGGAACAGGAGGTTGGACATCTCACGAGAGCTGCCAGCACCAGCCTGGGGCACAGCTGGGGCTGCTTGGCCAAGGGGACAGAGCCAAGCCAGGAGCCTGACTAGGGCAGTGGCAGGGAGGAAGTGCATAGAAGCTTCTAGAAGCTCCTAGTAGGCCAGAAGACAGCTCTTCCCTATAAGCAGCTCGGGAAGGGTCAGGGCCTGAAGCACCGAGGCCCCCAGCAGGCTCGACACAGGACCCTTGTCCTTGGGCCATACCCAGCAGGGCCCAGGTCAAAGTGGGCCAGCACCTTCCCCTGGACTTTGGCTCCGGGCCCAGAGTACTTTACTGGCAGGAAGGCCGAGGCCCACTGTAGGGGTCTCGCCTCAGCTGTGCAGGGCAGGGCTGAGGGCCGGGGCTGCTGCAGGAAGGAAGGCTACCACCTAGCAGACGGGCCAACGGGCAGGGGAGAAGCGCCCCTCCCCAGGACGGGCTCCTGGCCACTCACCTCCACCGCCAGTAGCACAGGACACACAGCAGCACCAGTCCGCAGAACCCGAGGAGGGGCACCACCGACAGCAGCCCTGGGGGGGAGAGGTGCCGTGGCAGGTATCCCAGCGACCCCTCCGCTCTGCCGCCTCCCCTGATTCATGCCTCTCGAGCGGGAACAAGAGCCAGTCCACGGCAGGGCGACAGACCAGGGCCTCCCCTCAGTGTCCTCTTGCCGGGCCTTGGAGACTGGCCAGAATGCCTCCTGCCCCCTTTATCCTGTTGTCTGCTGAAGCCTGTTTGGGCCTGGGTGAAGGGCCATGCACGCAGGCCAGTCTCTGGTGGAGGTGGGAACCAGCTTGCCAAGCAACTGGGTGACGCTTGCGCCTGTGACCAGCTCCAGTCAGGGCCCCTCGGCCCTGTGAGTGCTCCGTGCTACCGTTACCTACCCTCCGCCAAGGACAGCTGGACAGCCAGGAGCCCGGACCCCACCCCCGCGGCTGCCCTTCCAGACCCTCGTCCCTGCCGGCAGCAGAGGGACGAGGGGGACCCCGGGAAGGAGATGAGGGGTGATGGAAAGCACAAGGAGTGCAGCCCTGTGTCCCTCGAATTCCACTGGGAGAAATTTATCCCGAGCAAGCAGGACACACCAGGCGTGTCCCCAGATCACACAAGTCTGACGACCTCTTTCTTATACAGGATCACAATGGCAGAGAGGGACTTGCAGGGATGGTCTGGCAGGGCACCTTGGGCTGGGGACCCTTCTGTCCACCTGACGGGTGGGGAGGGCAACTTTGTTTTCATTTCAGTCATGAATTTGGGTGGGGCGGTCACTCCTGCTTGTGCCCAGTGACTCCACGGGTGATGCAGCAGTGCTTGTGGGGACCAGGCGGCATCAGCAGCCGTGTTGGGACTTTCTCCAAGTATCACGGGCCCCCCCTTCCCACCCAGTCTGTTTTATGGTGGCAGGAGCCCTGCTGAGAAGGAAACGGGGTCGTTCCTGCCCACGGCTGTTGGGGGCGAGTTGGGTTTCTGGGTTGTTGAAGATGGACATCTCAGAGAGTGAGGGACTGGCCAGGGGAGGGCGCAGGATGGTGCGGGGCCAGTACCCCCCCCGCCCCCCCCCCCCCCAGGGCCTGGGCACACGGGAATACTTACTAGTGACATGGGCGGCATCGTACGTAGGCACATCTGCAGAGGAGAAACCAGAGCTGAGTCATGGCAAGTACTCGTTTCTGGAGGAAGCAGGAGGGATTCAGGGGGTCCTGCCCTCTCCTGCCCCCATCTTATTAGGTCAGAGACTGGGCTGCCAGCCAAGCTCGCTGGCCAGGAGCAGGCAGGCTGGCTCCTGGGCCCTCTAGTGCCTCTGGCCCTGACACCGGGCGGGTGAGAGGGCGGACTTGTACCAGCAGCAGTGGGCCTGGCCACTGCCGGGCCTGGCCATGGACTTTACTTCCAGCGGAGCAGTATGTGGAGCAGGTGGCCAGGTCTCTGCACTGCCCAGCCCAGCCTCCCAGCCTCAGGGGGCTGTCCCCGCACTGACCTGCTGGAGAGGAGGACACCTGCTTGACACCCCTCCCGCCCCCGCAGGCCCAGCAGACAGGGGTCCAGGTGGCATCAGCTTGGAGCCCAGGCCGGACACTGGCTCAGGGGCCCCCGTGCCATTGCCATAGGAAGGGCAGGAGGCATCTCTGGCAGCCAAGACACAACAAGAGTCAGGTCCTCAGGACTCCCTGTCTCCCTGTCCCCAGGGAATTGTCTCCCGGCAAGGCCCTGGGGCCTCAGTGAGACCTGTGTGCTCGGCGCCAGCAGGCCCAGGTCTGCTCACTGGAGCAGCGTTTGCCCCAGGGACCAGAACTCGAGGCCAGAGCACCAGTTGTCAGAAATGTGAACGTTAGTTCTGGGCAGTTCACTCTCAACCTCTGATGTCAGCGGAGCCGATGGCTAGGTCCGGCCTGGCCCTGATCCAGGCCGACTGTCGCTGGTGGGTGAAGGTGCCTGGCCCCCGATCACAGCCCTCAGGCACCCTCGGCCCTGCTCCTGGGTTCTTCCCTAGACCCTGCTGGACACGGACCTCAGGACCCTGGTCTCTGCCAACAGTGCCTTGCGTGGCCCAGACCCTAGGTGATGGCCCTCAGTTCTTCCCAGCTGGCAGGGTCAGAGGTCAGGGGAAGGGCCAGTTGGGGATGGGCACCTCGGGCTGAAGCTCAGGTGACCCGGGGTCCAGATCCTCAGGCCTCCTGAGGGGCCGCGGAAGTGAGTGGAGGCTGGGGCCCTCAGCTCAGCGAGCGGTGTTTGAGTGGCATGTCCCTGGGCTTGCAGGGAAATGGGGCTCACTGAAGACTCCACAGTTCAGCGATAAAGTGTTTGTAGGGGGCAGAGGGAACGTGGCTGACCTAGGCTCCATCCTTGGCACCCATGTCATATGGTCCTGAGCACCGCCAGGAGGGCTCTGGCACAGCTGGGTATGGCCCAAAAACAAAAACAGTTTTTGTAGTTTGTAGTTGATTTAAAAAAAAAATTTTTTTTTTCAGTGCTGGGAATTGCCAGGACTTTCTATATGCCAGACAGGTGATAACTCTGGGCGACACTCTGGCCCAAGGACCATTCTCCGGGCACCTGCGGTGTCTCCCTGGCTACTCCAGAGGTCAGTTCCTCTGGGCTGGCACCCTGATTCGCTTTATCACTGTACTGGCCCATTTTGGGGGGTCTGGGACCAAATCTGCCATTGAGGCACTGTGGAAGATGGGGCAGCTGGGAGGGACGGTCACGATGACCACAGATGGACAAGGCGGGACTTTCTCTGCAGCACATGGCCACTCCCGGCTCTCCCGGGGGCAGGCCAGAAGCTGCACCGCCTGGGCACTGGCCATGACCACTGCCTGCAGGAAGGCCAGCCCTGTCCATTCCCTCCCTGGGCTCCACCTACCTTTCCCAGTGGGGGAGGGGCTCTGCAGCTCGGCGGTCACCGCAGCCGGTGCTGCCGTGGAGGTGGAGGGCGGCTGGCGTGGAGCCAGGGAGGGGTCGCCTAGAGAGAGAACCACAGGCATCGGGAGGGTGGCCGCAGGTGGTCTCAGCGAGGGGGAAACGCGTCCATTCCCAGGGACTGGTCAGCGTGGATTGTGCTGTGTCCCTGCGCCTCCTGGGCACACACGCAGTGACCCTGCCCAGCTCAGCTCTGTCATAGGCTGCCAGGCGGGAAACCCAGATCCCAAACCATTTCCTCCTCATGTTCTGAGCCCTGCGCTAGCGGCCTCCTGCGGGCAGAAGGCTGCTCGTTGCCTCCGTCTGGGGCTGGAGGTCCAGCCTGTCCAAAGCACTAAATTCTAAAAGAATCAGGGCATCCAAGTGCAGCGCACTGGGGGAGGCTCTTGCCTTGGACATGGCTGACCCTGGTTTGGGGCTCTCTGAGCACCTTTGAGTGTGGCCCCGAAACAGAAGGTCTGATTCTCCTTTCCTAAAAAGAGCCTGTCACCCACTCCCCTGGGTAGGGGTACAGGGAGATCCTAGGAGAAAGCCCAGAGCCCGCAGTCGGTCCCCAGCACCTCCCCAGGACACGCCTGGCCCTGGAGAGAGGCAATGCCAGCTCTTGGGAATGCCATGCCCTCCCTCGGCCTGTGGCTTCCCACTCGCGGCTATGGACAGTCACCCAAAGAAACAGCTGCGGGGGCCAGGGCAGGGCTCAAAGGATGGAGCCCAGACTTTGCATCAGGGGTCACGGACTCTGTACCTGCTGTTGCTTGCTCAGTCCCCCAGCTCCACCCTGAACACGGCAGAGTGACCTCTTTCAAATTGGAAGAGCTCCCAGCACCGCCAGGGGTGGTGCCGAGGCCAAAAACAGCCAAAAGAACAGCAAAAGAAATGATTGTGGTGAGTTCACACAGAGCCAAGTGCTGGAGAGGAAGAGGAAGCTCCCCGCAGACAGCCCTCGGGGACAGCAGGACGCTTGGAGCATCCAGCTGTGTGTGGCCCACTTCCTGTACAAGAGTCCAGCTTGTGACTCCTGCTCACTGAGTCTGCAGCCCACAGTGCTGGCATCAGGCCCTAGCCCGGCTCCGCGGGATCTGCACAAGGAACTGGGGGTTGGGTTCACTCTGCCCCGCTCCCAGCCCAGGATGTCCTGCCTCCCCGGGAGCCGTCTGGAACTGCATAGGTGTGCTCAGCCATGTGGCTGTCCTCGGCCCTCAGCACCAGCAGAGCCACTTACGGATGCACTGGAGCGTGGGCCTGGTCCAGCGGGCAGTGCGTGTGGTCTCGTTGTACACGCACTCGGTCAGGCTGGACGTCCCGGCTTTGCGCTTGAAGCCCGAGTAACACGCGTACCTCTCCCTGGAGCCTTGGCGGTGACTCCTGACCTGGATGTCCGCATGTTCGATGGCAGAGGGCGGGGGGCAGGTGACACCTAGAGTGGACACGATGGTGAATGGGCAGCCAACAGTTGTGTTCTGTTTGGGGGTCACCCTGGGTGGTACTGCAGGGCTCCTAGCCCAGCGGTTGCCCTCTGAGCCATCTTCCCAGCCAGGTCAATGGTCAGCCCCAGCGGCTGACCACACTCACCAACAGCCCCTGGGCTGCCCTCTGCTCTCTGCTGGGAAGGGGCTTTGCCCAACGGGAAAAGCATACTGCAGGTTGACCGCCCCCCCTTTTTTTTTTGCTTTTTGGGTCCCACCCGGCGATGTGCAGGGGTTACTCCTGGCTCTGCACTAAGGAATTATTCCTGGTGGTGCTTGGGGGACGATATGGAATGCTGGGAATCAAACCCGGGTTGACCGCATGCAAGGCAAACACCCAACCCACTGTGCTATCGCTCCAGCCCCGGCCGCCCCCACTTTGAGAGCACCGTCTTGTGGGCTGGCTCTGGGGAGTCGTTATCCATGCAGGAAAGTTCCCTTCCATATGGAAGCAGTGCTAAAGTGAGCCCGGGAGGCGTCAGGCCTCTTCTACACGCTACAGCAACAACTGGAAAAGGAGAGCTTTGGCTTTCTTACCAGGCGAAAGGGATGAAGCGTGGAAATGGGGAGGCACCCAGGTCCCGGCCAGGAGCCCTCCTAGGGCGGTTAACCCAGCTCCTCTGGCACCGAGTCTGTAGGAGGGGTTCTCCCCGAAGGCAAGTGCCTTTCCCCCTGTCTGCTTTCTCCTGCTGCGATGTCCATGGTTTAGAGAGGACCGATCGCAGTGGACAGTCCAGGGAAAGGAGTGAGCCTCTCTATGGAGCCAGGCCCAAGGCCCTTGTGCATGGCATCCGCAAACAGCGTCCAGGACCACACCTCTGCACTCCGGGAAGGAATTGCTTGTTATGTGCAGTCTCAAGTGAGTCCCCTGGCCCAGAGACCCGCACAGAGTTCAAAAGAGTCAGTTCCAGGGGCCACCAGCCTTTCCTTCCCCCGCTTTAGAGCCCATGCCAGGAAGGGACCCACGGGAGACGTGACCTCTGCCCTTACGGAGTCCACTAGCCCACAGCCATCCTGGCACCCTCTCCTGCCAGACAGCCATGCGGACACCTGTCCCCAGGCCGCTGACCCTGACACGTCCACTCTCTTCTTGAAGGCTGACCATTGCGCCTCCCAGTGCGAGTGAGTTCACCGCAGACTTAGTCCTTAGGTCCTGACTGTGGCCCTTGGCGGGGGGTGGGGAGCTGAGACAGGAGAAAGAAATTCTGGCATGCTGAAGGGCCCACGAGGAGGTATGCCCATGCCTCTCGCTAACCACTGGCCTGCACTCCCCTTCATCCGCATTGCCCACACACCTCAGCTGACTGCCCAGGGCTCGGCTCTCCAGACCTGACAATGGCTCAGCTCCCCATTCCATTCCCTTCGGAGGCCCCCCAGACATTCGAAACAAGTGGGCATATTTGTAAGCTCAGGGCCTGCTCCCACTCTGGCTGCCTGTGGTGTACCACACCAAAGCTGGTCCTCTGACACGCAAGGCAGGACTGAGCTCCTGGAATTTTCTCTCTGACCTCAAATCTTGTGTTTCGTCTCTTTAAATTTGTATCATTTTTTGGGTGGGCTGGTGCAGAGAGGCACATGTGACAGTGCTCGAGAGGCCATGCAGTGCTGGCACCACGCGTGCTCCAGGCCTCAGGGCCACCTCCCAGCCCCTGTTAATTGACTGTTTGCCATCAGTATCTGTACAAAGTGATATGCCAAACACAGTAACAACAAAGTCTCCAATGGAGACGTTACTGGGCCCGCTCGAGCAAATCGACGATCAACGGGAGGGCCTTTACAAAGTGATAACAGCTCAATAAAACTGATTTTCAATACAAAATAAAATATTTTGGTAAAAAGGAATATTTCAGGGCTTCTGAAAATTGGTTTAGACATGTTTAATTGACAGGAAGCCGGAGCGATAGTACAGCAGGTGGGGCGCTTCCCAGGCACACAGCCGGTCGGGTTTGATCCCCAGCACCACATACGAGCCCACGAGCCCACCAATGTGATCCCCGAGCACAGAGCCAGGGGTGACGTGAGCACTGCTGGTATGGCTCCTCACCCACCCCCCAAAGGCACAGAAGCATCCTGGAGATGACTCCAATCTACCAAACAAGATGCATGGGCGGCACGTGACCCCTGGAGAGACTGGGCAGCGTTAGTAAGCATGAAGGCGCAGGACTGGCCACACACGGGGGCGGGGCGGGGGGGGGAGGTGACGCCCTGCTCCAGGCGGGAGTTAACACAGCGCTAGAGGTCCATGTTATCTCCAGAAAGCTGTCAGAGATGGCGCCTGGGAGGTGTGAAGAGGCACGCTCCGGAAGGGGAGGACTGGCATTGGCTGATTGGTGCTGAACCAAATATACCCATGGCACCCCGGGCCAGCTCCGTGCCCGGACAAGCAACACCCTGTGTGTGCAAGCGTGTGCGCAGCTGTGCAGGCACACGGGCGTGGGCATAAGGAGGGGGTTCGGCTCCCCTGTGAGGACTCATCACACAAGGCCCAGCACTACCACTTAGAGAGAGAAAGAAACCAGGAAGAGAGGATCCCTCGGACCCCCTGGTGCAAAGTTCCCTCCTGCAGCCCAGCGGGCAGATCCAGGGCCTCCTGCCTGGGGGATGGTCACTAGTGCGCGCCTGGGAAGTCAGCTTCCCCCCGACCGCCCGCCTGATGCCTCGCCGGTCTACCCTAATTATGTTGTCGCCTACAGCAGCCCACAAAACACTGGAGCGGGAGCCCTGTGTCACTACTGCCACTGGCCCCGCCCCTGGGAGCCAGCTGGACAGCCGCAGGCGGGGCTGGAAGGACGCGGTCTTTCACTTTCACCTAGGGGGAGGCGTCCCCGCCCCCGCCCCATCTCCTCCAGACAGGGCGGATGCCCAGTCTAGGGCCCCCTGCACCGGGGCATTTTGGTGCGAGGTTTGCGGCATCATGGTCCGCCCCACCCCGAATCCCTGATGGCACAGAGTTGGAGAAGCAGAGCTGCGACGGACCGAGGCCGCGTCCTCACTCTCCATCGGCGCACGCCTGATCGTTTCCCTCCGGGTCGGAAGCGCTAGACACCAAGTCCTGTCCCCAACCTCATCCTCGCCCCCGGGAAGGTCGCAGGCCCCCCTGCCCGCCCAGTCTCCTCGCTTTGCAGGTGTGCGACCCGACCCTGACGGTGCGCTGCTGTCCGGGACGCAGTCCCGCGCCCCCGGCCCGCGCGCCCTTCAGCCCCGCACGCTCCCAAATGGTGCCCGGCGTCCCCTCCAGCCCCGCACGCTCCCAAATGGTGCCCGGCGTCCCCTCCAGCCCCGCGCACTCCCCTCGGTGCGTTCCGTGACTGCCCACACCCCCTCCAGCTCCGCGCTCCCCTCTATGCGTCCCCAGGCGGCGCCCCGCTCACCCTCCAGCCCCGTGCGCGCCCCACGGTGCGTCCCCGACTGCCCCGCGCCCTCCATCCCCGCGCGCTCCCCGCGCGCTCTCCTCGGCGACTTCCCAGGCGCTTTCGCCTCCTGCCCATCGCCGTGAAGCGCGCCCCGAGCCCCGTGGTGGTGGCTCCTACCCGGCGCCGGCGGCGGGAGCAGCAGCAGCAGCAGCAGCAGCGGCGGCAGCAGCGGCGGCAGCGGCAGCGGCAGCCCGCGACGCGCGTCCACCCGGAGCCCCGCGGGGCCCATGGCCCACCTGGGACGCGCCCGCCGGGCCCTACAGTGGGGACACACGGCCGGGGAGTGGCGGGCGCGGCGCGGCCACGCCGGTCGCCTTCGCTTTCGCTTTTGCTTTAGCCCCCGAGCAGCTGGGAAGGCCCCGTGACTCAGCGCCCCTGCCCAAGGTGGGGTGCGGGCAGCCCCTGCCTTCCTCTGCCCTCCTCTGCCCTCAGACCCCACCCCGTGGGACCCCTGGATGACCCGCCGTGGCGCCGCCGCTGCACCTTTCCAAGAACGTAGCAGCCTCCCGGGGTTCTCCTCTTGCCTAGTAGGGGTATAGGGTGGCAGGAAGGACCCCTCACTCCACCTAGCTGGCCCCTGTGGCTGTGTCCATCCTTCTTCTTGGGGATCACAGCTTGAAAGAGGTCGCAAATTCCGGGATGTGGGAGGGAAGAGGGAGGCCTCTGGGGAGAGGGACTTCTGTCCCAGCACCTGAATGTCCCCCCTTCTGAATGCTCGACACAGGGATGTCCAGCCAGGAGACTGGCCCCAAGCTGATGCTTTTTGAGACAGGTGTGGGCCTGCCTGTCTCAGTGGCCTTCCTCCAGGGAGGGCTCTTGGGTCAGTCTCCCTGGTGCTCTGCAACCGGGCCAGCCCAAATCAACGGTCTCTACCGTGTCCTGGAAGCTTGCCTGCTCTTAGCCAGCGCCCCCACCCGCCCTTCTTTCCTTGGGAGTGGCAGGCATCTCTGAGCGACAGACAGGTCCAGCTTGGTCCTCCAGCCCTGCTCACGTGCGTGTGACCCAGTCCTTCCAGGCTTCGAGTTCGAGTAGACAGCAAGGCCCTCCGGGAACCAAACTAGAGCTCCGGTTTCTTCTGAGCAGGGTGCCAGGCAGGGAGACGGCAAGGAGCGACCCATGCTGCCAGTGCCAGCAGCTGTCCCACCTTTCCCTACAGCCACTCCCGTGAGGTACCCACATGGGGGGTGCCGAGGGGAGCATTCAGCTTGGTGTGCATTCAGCCATGGTGCCAGCCCGCAGGACAGGGTGACTCTCTTGCCTTCTCCAGCTGCCGCCCATGTTCCTGGCACATTCCTGGACTCGTCCACTTTATTATTTGGTTTGGTTTGATTTGGGGGCCACACCCAGTCATGCTCAGGGGTTACCCCTGATTCTATTCTCAGGAATCACTCCTGATGCTGTTCAGGGGGCCTTATGGGATACTGGGAATCGAACCCGGGTCAGCCATGTGCAAGGTAAGCGCCCTGCCCACTGTTCATCACTCCAGCCCCATGAACTCTCTTGGCGATGTGCTGCGGCCACACGAACCATCTCCGAAGTCCACTCACTGACCAGCCATGTGATTTGCCTCTGCAGACTGAATCCCCGTCACTGTGTGAGGGGCGAGGGAGCGGCTCCAGGAGTTTCCACATGGATGTATTTGGTGTGAGGTGAAGAGGCAGCATCCTTCTGCCAACCCCAGCAGGCATCTGGCACATATTAAAATGGCAGAGGGCCAGTGGTAAGGCTGATGGACTCAGTGAAGAACGTTTCCAATCTCTCACAGCTCCACAGTTTCCAGAAGCTTCCTGCAAAACTCTCTAAAAATATATGGAGGCCACAATAGCACACCTTCCTGACATGTGGGTCCCCATGTTCGAGCCTCAGAACAGCCCACTGCAACCCAGGTGCCCCTGTGGGTCCACCCGCATCACCACACATGTGTGGGCACAGTAGTCAAGGGCTTGCTCCCTGGTGGGCATCATGGTGAAGTATGGGGTGCCACTCTGCCACCCTGGCAGGAGGGACAGGCCCTCCAAACAGAAGCAGTGTGAGGTCACTCCCCTTCCAAGGAGGGGCTTGGCTGGGGAACCACGCTGGGGATGCTGCTGAGGGGGGCAGACAGCTCCTCCCACAGGCACCATCAGTTCCCAGGAGCCTGTTCCGGAAAGGGGTTTTCCAAACAGAGTGAACAGGCCGTGCATCCCCAGGAAGGGGGCACAGTGTCCCACACCCTGGCCTCCTCAGGGACCTGGGGTCTCCTGGACTGAGTCGGGCCCCTCGGCGTGTCCACCAGGCGGGAGTGCTATTTCGGACAGCCAGGCAGGGCCTCCTCCCAGAACTCCCGAGCCCTGCTCCTGGGGATCTGGGGTGTCCTCTCATGTGGTGGGCGGAGATGGGGTGAGGGGTGGTGAGGCTCCCAGAGGCGAAGGGCCTAATGAGAGACCTCGGGGGCCCGCGTGTGCTGTGTGCTGTGACCCCGCCCTGTCCGCTTTGCTGTGCCCGCTGCTGTGCAGCTGCAGGATGCCCGGGTGCCCGCACTACATCCTCCTTCCCAGCAGTGCAAGAAATAACTGCCCAGGGCCGCTTGGGTCTCGTGAGGAGCCACTGCTGGGGTTCAGAGCATGATGTACTTTGTTCTTATTTATCTTGCTGGGGCCACCCTGGGGCCCAGCCGAGACACTGCCGGGCACTGTGTCCATGACCCGTGGCCCGACGCCTTTTCTGGCTGCTGCAGGCTCCAGGTCTGAGGTCCAACTCCTCTCCTAGCACCCTCGCCCTTTCCTGCTGAGTCAGAGTGTGACTGGAATACACGATCGGGTCATTCTCTAGCATGTCTCTGCCCCGTCGAGGCCAGCGCCATGCTGTTTGCCGCCGGGCACAGAGCCATGCTATGCTGGTGGTGCTCCGGTCCACTCCTCACTTTCCTCTGGGTCTTGCCCTCCTCCCTGTCCGTGAGCAACTTGGGTCCCGCTCACGGTTCTAGGGCTGAGAGCCACGAGCAGCCTGCGCCCCACCCTAAACTTCCACCCCCTGGACCCGGGCCAGGAGACATGGGCCTTGCAGAGCCAGGGAGAGGCAGAAGGTGGAGAGAAGCTATTGTCTGCTGTGACCAGGCCAGCTCCCTGCCGCCGAGCTTCAGCTTGTTTGGGGATGGATACAGAGCAGAGGGGGAACTCGGAGCAAAAGCGGGGTTGCCAGGGAGGAATGTAGGCTTGGATTTGTTGTTAGCTGCGGGCCCCTGCTACAGTGCTCGGAAGCTGGCATGGCCCCGCCCTGCCTCCTGCCTTTCTGAAGGCAGCTCCCAAGGCGGGGCCTGGGCAGAGCAGCACGAAGAGGCATTTCCACCACACCTCACACGGGACGGGGAGAAACAAGCTCGAATCAGCTCAGAAATCTGCACGCTTCGTCCTGGCGTCCCCATTCTTGGCCAAAAAGCATCATCTGATAAGAGAATCCCCACGTGAACCCTCAATTTGGGGCACCAAAAGCGAACGGCCTCATTCTTGGGTGCTGAGTAAGCCGGTACTGAGAGAGCATGGGGACTCCACACGACTTTATCTGGTCGATAAAACAATTTATCTCCAGGATGGAAAATTATTCCAGGTGATCCTTCTGGAAGAGAAAACACGTGTTGACTTGAGCATGTGCTGGCACTCTGAAATGCTGGGTAACGGGTTCCTTCATGGTGGTTTGGGGCCACACCTGGCTGTGCTCAAGCGCTGCCCCTGCTCTGAGTTCAGGGGTCTCCCAGGCCTTGGCCGCCCAGCCCACGGTGCCAGGGCCCCTCCCTTTCCCCCTGGAAACACGTAGGTGTGTGAGTGTTTGCATGAGCACTTCCCCTTTGGGTGAGACTCTGCAACCAGCCCAGGCCTTGTGGCTCTCGCCCCTGCAAGGAAGCTACAGCAGGACCCACAGGAAACGCACAGGTAAGTCCGTTACCTGCCAGACTGGAAGTGACACAGCTCATCCAGGAGATGCAGAGGTGGGTGCAGGTTTCTGCGTCTCCTCGGCCGGGGGTGGGCTCTCTGGGCAGTCCCGGCTCACTTCTCCCAGGTGAGCTGGAAACATAAACATGGGGAGGTGGAGTCCAGGGAGAGCCCAGGCCAGGAGCACGGCAGCCAGGCTGGACTGGGGGCTGGCACAGGCTCTGGAGCAGGGCCTGGAGCCCCCAGCTGGGGCCAGGTCACATGACAGGAAGACCTGTCCATGGCAGGGTAAGCGGGGGGAATGTGTGTGGTGACATCGGCAGGGACATAAGCTGCAGGTGAGGACAAGGCCACCTGATGGGGCACATCCCTGGGGTCTGCTGGCCACTGGGGGGAGCGTTCTCACCACACCCGGGACACCAAGAGGGCCCAGCACCCACCACGGGCAGGACAGATGCTGTAGCACAGCAACACACCTGCTTGAGCCTCACACATGCCCCCACGCACCCAGGCGCCCACCAGTGGAGAGGTCAGAGAGGAAGGTCAGCACCCCACAGGCACCTGGCCCTCCCGCCACGAAAATCAGTCGGCAGATGCGTCCAGGGTGGGTGCTGCTGCTGAGACGGGGCTTCAGACAAGAGAGGCGTGGGCTGGGAGACACAGCACAGGCAGGCCTGCTTTCAGGTCTCGCGGGATGATTCCAACCCCTACCACATCTGGGTCTGGGCTGGGCGCCAGGAATACTTTAGGGCGGGGCACGTGGCTGCATCAGGGCAGGCCTCTGTGTGAAGTCGCGGCAGTGGCGGGGGGGGGGGGGTGTCCCGTGAGAGTCCACCATGAACAAAGGACCCTACTGCCACGCTGGGGCCACGGAACAACCGCCTATGGACAGCGCTGGCTGGCAGCAGTTCCCGCTTTTGCCGAGGAAATGCCAGCGACACAGCACCAAGGTGGCCCCGAGGGTCACGTCCCTCCACAGCTCCGTCATATGGTTTCCCAGAGAGCCACGCATGTCGCACCTTCACTCCCCAATGGGCAGTAGGTTCACTTGAGTCTTAGAAGCAGCATCTTAACTCAGGTCAGTGTGGAGATGTGGAGGGTAATCTAACAGCTGTGGGGCTCAGCAGGGTTTTCCGCATGGAGTGGCCCAGGAGGCCGGTGAGGGTCCCGCATTCCCTCACCAGGCCCAACCGTGTCCTTCTGGGGCTGCAGTTCCTCCACAGCCTTCGGGGGTGCAGGGGCCCCACTGAAGTGACACGGAGTGACGGTTTCACTGAACAGGATGCCAGCCCTGACAGGCAGAGTCTTTGCTAAGAAAAATCTCATCTGAGTAGCCAACTCGGACACGGAACTAGGACAGCGGGAGGGTGCGGGCTTGCACACACACGTCGACCGGGTTTGACCCCAGCACCCCACATGATCCCCCGAGCACCACCAGGAGTGAGCCCCGAGCAACACCAGGTGTGACCCAAACTCCACCCACCCCCCCAAAAAAAAGAAAGGAAAGAAACTGAAGCCAACGAACTTTGAACATATTGTTTATTAAATCTTTTGTGAATGACAGTAATGAATTCCCACAGTAGCATCAGTGATGACAGCACATATCATGCAGTTTCTGGAAAATTCCCTTGTAAGAGAAGGAGGGGGGAAGGTACATTATCACGGAAAAAAATGTCAATGTCTCTCCCCTGATATCACTCAGTGCAGTTTATTTTTTGTTGTTTCCAGACCACGGTAGTCAGGGGTTACTCCTGACTCTGCTCACTCCTGCAGTGCTCGGGTGACCATATAGAATGCCGGGGATCGAGCCCAGGCTGGACGCGTGCAGCAGGCAGCCAACCAACCCGCTTGACTGTCGCTCTGGCCTCCGTTCTGCTTTATTTAAGGAACATAAGTAGGTTTAAAATTCTTCGGCGCCCTCTGAGACTTCTTTTACACTGAGTTTACCCAGACACAAGTATGTCGGGTGTGTGGGTGGGGTGAGCGTACTAAGGGGACATGCGTTATCCTGGGAGGGCAGAGAATGCTTCTCTCACGTAGAAATGGGCCTTCCTGCCCTTCCAGACATGAGTCTGTCTGTGCTCGGAACTCCTCACTCGCTCACTCCAGGACGCAGTCATGTGGGATTTGGACAGCTGAGCCCTCTGATTTGCGAACTCAGATGTTGCAAAAAAATAAACCAAACCCGAACTTCGACACCCACACTGCTGAAGCTGATGTTTCTAGCGGGAGTTGGGGGGTGGGGTGCGAAGTGATCCAGCAGGTCTCTCTGGTCCCTGGACACACCCTCAGTCATGTCAGAAACACATTCTCAGCTGTGGGTTTTACTGTTCATTTTGGTCACACACCTGTTGGTGCTCCAGGGACCATCGGGTCCTGTGGATGAAACTGGGGCCCTCACATGCAAGCATGAGCCCCAGCCTCAGAGCTCTCTCCCCAACCCCCTCTGCAGAGCCCCTGAACAGTGGGGGTCGCTAAACAGTTGCCGACAGGTCGACAGGTCGAGGCCCTTCCCCGTGTTTCACCCGGTCCCTGAAATCTCTTCCTTCCTTCCTTCTTTCCTTCCTTCCTTCCTTCCTTCCTTCCTTCCTTCCTTCCTCCCTTTCTCCCTCCCTTTCTCCCTTTCTTCCCTCCCTCCCTTCTTCCTTTCTTCCTACCTTCCTTCTCTCCCTCCATCTGTCCTTCCTCCCTCCCTCTTCCCTCCCTCTCTCCCTCCCTCCCCCCTCCTTCCACACTGATCATGCTGCTCTGTAACTCGGGTTTAATGATGTTTCCTCGGAAATGTGTACATTGTGTGTCTGTGATAATCTAGTCAGAGCAGACCTGATGCAGAACCTTGTTTGTAACAGCCCCAGAGAAGCCAGACCTGAAGGAGCTTTATGCTGTCCCCAAACAGCTCCTGGCATCAGCCCCAATAAATGTCTTTTAAATATCCAAGCCTCTTCCGGAGCAAAGGAAGGGCGTCCTTCGGGGTCACCTGGCTCGGCCTGGCTGTGGAGGGGGCTCCCTTCCTGAGGCTTGAGCTGTGGCCCGCATGGCCTCTCATGCCAAGCAGCACAGGCTTCTGAGTGCTGGGCTGAGGGCCAGACACTGCCCCCCGGGTCCCAGGTCTTAGAGGGGCTAGCTACGGACCGAGACAGGGCGAGGGGCAGGGCCAGCAGGCTGGGGGGAGCGGGCGCCCGTGTTGAGGGCCTGACGCTGACTCAGAGTGTCGAGGGATCTTCATCAGCAAGCTTTAATGAACCCAGGAAAGCCGACACGGTGCCAGAGGCCCCCGGGACACACTTCCACACTGCCTCAGGGGCAGGCCAGGGCGGGGGGGGGGGGGGGCAATGCCTTCAGCACACAGGATCTGGTGGAACCCTGAAGGCCTCCTGGAAGAGGCTGGCGACCTTGTCCTCCTGGCCTAAATGGTTCCTCTCATCTTCCTCCTGTTCAAACACAGAGCCAGGGTCGTGGTGCACCTGGGAAGAGCGCCCTCACCTCCTGCCTATGTAAACATCCCCGGGTCTCCCTGCAGCAGGGCGTCCTGACATGTGAGCCCACTCTCTTACTGGGGCCGCAGCAGGTGCCCTGACCTCGAGGACAACAAAAGCATAGCTGGTGGCTGGCACTGACTTCACTGGCTTGTTTCAGGGCTATTAATTTCATGGCAAGGCTGCATGTCGTCTTATGTATAATCAGGGCTCTGCTCCCAGCCACTCATGAAAGTCCTGAAAATCCCATGGGTGGCCCAGAGGGGGTGAAGGGTCAGTTCAGCCAGTGACCAGCTGCAGGCTGATTCAGCTAATTGGCCTGAGAAACTGTACTAGGAAAACGGGGGCATTTCTGTAGGATTTCCATCTTTCCACTAGAGGGCACCCTTGGATGGCTTTCACTGCAAGCAGAACTTGGGGACTTGTTCTGGGCCAGGGGAGTGTGTGTGTGTGTGTGTGTGTGTGTGTGTGTGTGTGTGTGTGTGTGTGGTGTGCATGTGTCCCCAGGATTGTAATTCTGGGAGTTCTCTCATACAGGGTCAGGATGAACAACTTCATCCCTTTGTGTGAGGTGTGAGTGTGTGTGTTCTCACAAGTCACAGGATGGGCTTGAAGGTGCCGTGCTCAGTTTGGGGACAGGGGACAGGGCTGACAGGAGTCCTGCATGCACTTCCCTCTCCTTGGGTCTGTCACAGTGGCCAGACAGGCAAGGCCACAGGCTGGCGCGGGGAAGGGCCAGGGTCTGCCGAGTGTTGTACTCGGGGGACGTCTTTCAGTCGGCTCTGGGAGGTGTCGGGCTGTGCGTTTCATGTGTCTTACAGGAAGTCAACATCAGGTGCTCTGACCCTCGTCTTTGACAGCTGGTCAGAAGGTGCCTGGATGTTGGGGCAGGGGGACTCTGGAGAGATGGAGTGATGTCACGGGGTCTCTGTGGTTTGTGTGTTTAAGTGTGAGAGAATATGTGCCTGAATGTGTGAGTGTGTGAGTGTGTGTGAATGTGTGAGAGTGTATGTATGAGGGTATGTGTGAGTGTGTGTGAGTGTAGTGTGAGTGTATGTGTGAGTGTGCATGAGTGTGTGACAGTGTGAGTATATGTGTGATGGTGTGTGATCGTGTGAGTGTGTGACAGTATGTGTGAGTGTGTGTACATGTGAGTGTGTATGTGTGAGTGTGTGTGACAGTATGTGTGCATATGAGCGTGTGAGTGTGTGGAGAACGTGTGTGTGAGGGAGAGAGGGTAGCGTGGGGGTCCTGTGGTCCTGGACATCTGACTTGGCACGGGGTGGGGGGCGACGGTCAGTCTGTGCTCTGGGGCCGGTTCCTCCTCAAGTATGATGGCACTAATGTTGGGGCTGCAGCCAGGCTGAGTGTGCATGGGGGGGGCCTGAGCACTCTGAGAGGGGATGGGGAGTCCGTGGGCAGGAGAGCAAGGCCACTCACCATTTGCGTTGCCACGCAAGGCCTCCGAGGAGCAGGACACCGGCAAGCAGGAGCAGGAGTGCATAGCAGGCAGCTGTCAAAGACGAGGGTCAGGCTTCACGCGGCCCCCAGCCTCCCTGGGGCCCACAGCACCTGGGAGGAGGCTGGGGCGGGCAGTGGGTGGAGCCCACGGGAAGGGGGGCCACTTTAAGCTCCACCCCCGCCCACGCTGCCCGCCCGACGCTGCCCACCTGCTATCAGATACTTGATGGGTAACGGCCACTCGGTGGCCACAGCAGCTCCGGTGTGTGCCGGGGGTTCTGCAGGAGAAGAGGACCCAGGTGATACCAACTGTGGCCTGCGGGGACCCTCAGCCTTGCCCCCTCCTCTGTACACACTTGCTGACCATGCAGGGGTCCCTGGGCAGCCAGGCCCCAGGCACATGCGTCTCTTTCTCACCTTAGGATTTCATGATCAAGCTTTAGCATTTTGAAAAATTACGATTTTTTGGTTTTTGACTGGGGGTCACACCCGGCAGTGCTCAGGGCTTCCTCCTGGCTCTGTGCTCAAGGATCACTCCTGGCGCCCCCCGCCCCCCCCCCCCCCCCGGAGGACTCTGTGGGGTGCCAGGGATCGAGCCTGGGCAAGTGCCCCACCCACTGTACTCTCTCTGCAGGCCCCAGACATGTTCTTTTTTGAAAAAACAAAACAGAAAAAAATTAGATTGGCACGCCGTTGGGTTCCAGCATGTAAGTTTGGGGAGTTCAGAGTCACATTTGATCTCCGCATGCCCCTCCCGTCCCTGTCGCCCTAAAGTTCAAGCTACTCTCCATGACCACACGGCCCCTGCCCCCACACGTGTCCCCTGGGGACGGCTGGCTGGGGCCACACGCCAACATGGCATTGTCAGAATAAAGTGCTCGCTGAAGGAAGGTTTTAATTGAGCGGATATTGCGCGTGACCCACACGCCTGCCCTAGGCACATCCACAACTAAGGAATTATTTCCAGCCCGTCTCCTTTCCGTGACCCGGGCTCTTTCCCAGTCCAGACTAGTTTCAACCGATTGCTATTTCCCCATTCAGCTCAACCCCATTCTTTGTCTCCCTAAATTTCTTGATTGTTTCTGGGGGCCCCAGGGCCCCAGATCCGGGCCTCCCCCACACTGCCCACAGCAGTTTATTCTCGAGAGCCCACAGGAGACAGGCTGAGGAAACCACTCCCGCTCTTCTGGGCATGGGCCTGCCACCAGGAGTGAGACCACCTTGACGGGCATAGCTGGGGGGGACCCCCAACAAAACACTACAAGGTGAAATCATGCCTCCTGGAACATAGAGGTGGGACTTGGGGAGAGGGGACGAGGCGGGAAGTGGCTTGGGCAGTCAGTGGCACAGCCTTCTCCCAGTCAAGAACGTCGCCAGCCCACAGCCGTACCTGCTGGTTCAGCCGTCCCCGCGGGGGCCCCGGCTGTGGGGCGCAGGCAGGCGGTGTGGCTCCCTGGAGCTTCTGGAGGAATCTGTTCGTCTCCTGGGGGAGAGAGGAAGTCACACCCAGGGCTGTAGCGGGGACTGGGGTGGGGGGAGTCTCCTTCCCTCACACAGCTAAGGCTCTTCCCCGCTGCCGGGCATGACCCGGGAAACCCCACTCCCCACACACGTTTTAGAGGTGGTGGGGCCCAGCCCGCATACCTTCCCAGGGCTCCCTCCCGGCACTCCCGGTTTCTGTGTGGGCCGGGAACCAGCTCAGGCAACGCCGGGACAGATGGCCCAGACAAGGAGCCCTCACCCGCCTCACCCACCCTCCCCTCAGCCATGACAAGAGACATGGGTTCTCACAACGCTTACCTGGGACTGGGCCAAGTCCCCCGTCTCTCACGCAGGTGAGCTGTGGCGGGGTCCAGTAGGTCTCCCCACAGCTCACTTCACAGATGCTCCTGACAGGATCCCTCTGACCTGCCCTGAACCCCTGGGTGCACTGGTAGTAAAGCTCCTGCCCCACCACAAAATGGTACGATCTCCTGGACTCCTCATGTTCCCAAGGTGGGGGCTCTCTGCAGTGGCCTGCGGGGAGGGGAAGAGTGTCCTAGGCAGGGTGGGAAAGCATCGCCTCTTCCATGGGCCTCGCTTGGTGTGTGCATTTATCCACCCACCTGTCCATCGGCCACCAGCTGTCCACCCAGCCACTATCCATCAACTCATCCACCATTCATCCATCTACCATCCATCCATCCACCCATCCATCCACCCATCCATCCACCCATCCATCCATCCATCCATCCATCCTTCATCCACCTGCCAATCCGCCCATGCACTATCCATACATCCATCCTTAATCCAGTCATCTACTATTTGTCCATCCACTATTCATTCATCACCACCCATCACCCACCTACCATCCACCCAGCTACCCATCCATTCCTCACCATCCATCCACCCGCCTCCGCTGTCCGTCCGTACATCTGTCCTCAACCCACCCACCCACCATCCATCTATCCACCATGCACCTGCCATCTACCATCTATCCATCCATCCAACCATCCATCCATCCATCCATCCGTCCATCCATTCATCTGTCCATCCATCCATCCATCCATCCATCCATCCATCCATCCATCTATCCATCCATCCAACCATCCATCCATCCATCCATCCGTCCATCCATTCGTCTGTCCGTCCATCCATCCATCCATCCATCCATCCATCCATCCATCCTTCCGTCCATCCATCCGTCCATCCATTCGTCTGTCCATCCATCCATCCACCCATCCATCCGTCCATCCATTCTCTGAGTGGCAAACATATATGTAGGAGGCACTTTGCTGGCACCAGGTGGCCCCACTCTTTGGGGTGGGTGGTCAGCGGGGCGGGACAGACAGCTGGAGATGGCACATGGCCTCTGTCTGGCTGAGGGAGGGCACTCGCCACAGGAAGTCTGAGCCCTTGGTTGTGGCAGCTGAGGGCTGGGGTCAGTGACCGAGGGGGACAGGCACTGCCATGGGGGGACGAGGCACACCCTCCTGGACACACATGGCCCCTGCACCAGCGGGGAGGAAGCAGGTTGGGTGGGGCTGGTGGATGTGCCGGGAGATGCCAGCCCTGCAGCTCAGCCCCCAAGCCCGGGAGAGCGAGGCCTGGCTTCCAGCGGCCGCCTGCCAAGGCTCTGCCTGGCCTACTCGCGGGACGGCCTTACCTGCTCACCTGCAGGCCAGCTCCTCTTACCTGGCAGGTCGACTTGCCCCGGGGACTGCACCTGGCCTTGCCCCACTGTGTATCTCCACCCTGTGTGCCTGTCAGGTGAGCGTGTCACGTGTCCCTTGCTCCCGGGGGCTGGAGGGAGCAGAAGGGGCAGAGAAAGTCTCAGGACAGAAGCTCAGCCCAGCCGCGCCCTCCACGCCTCCCACACTGCCTGCGTGCACCTTCCCCTCCTTTAGAGCCCACGATGTGGGGTCCAGGGGCTCCAAAATGAGCTTCCCTGGCCCTGGGGTTCCCACAGCGGGGCTGTGAGCATCTCCGTGCCGTGACGGCCATGCTCGAAGTCTCGAAACACCCAGTTGGCTCCCCGCGGGCTCTGTGCTTGCAGGTGTGTCTGCTGCGGGGGGTGGGGGGGTGAATCCTGTCTGGGGCCTGCTGGTGCCCACGCCCAGGAGTGTGTGGCACCAAGGCCAAGGGTGCTGTGCTGGGCCTGCCCACAGCACCCTGGTCTTCTCTGAGCTAGAGGGACATGACGTCCAGCATGAGAGAACTCCCCCTGCATCCTCCTCTGTGCCGAAGATGCTGGTGCCAGGCTGAGCCTGGGGTTGCCCGGAGGGCACCAGACCAGTGGGTGGAGCCCAGGAAACAGGCATGGGGGAGCGCCACAGAGTGACCTCCCTCGACTCACTGCTCCTGACAGCCCAGATGGATGCAGCAGGGAAGGGATGCCGGGGTCAAGAAGGCCCCGTGGTAACACAAGGGGCTGTCAGCATTCTCAGGGTTTGGGGGGCCACAGGAGGTCTGCCGACACCTCGCTTTGTGGCCCCGTTCCCTGCAGCAGGCCCAGCGCTGAATGTGCAGAGCTGCATGGTGCCCCAGATGGACACGCCCAGCTCTGCACCCTGCAGTGCTAGGAACCAAGTGGGCTTGGCCACGCACCAGACATGCCCCTAAGCCCTGCCCCATCTCGGCTTTTTGGCGGGGCTGCCTGGTGGCATCCAGAGCACCTGGATCAGTGTGGACGGGCAATTGGAGTTGCTGTGAATCTTGGTGTCACGCGAGCCCCCGCCCCACTCGAATCCCAGAGCACGTCGGTCCCCATCTGCGGGCCGGGGTTCTCAAGAGGCCCTGCTGCACCCAGCTGCTCTCGCCTGTCACTCACAGGTCCTCACGCACTGGCACTCCTTGTCCCATGTGGCGCGGCTGGCATTCCCAGTGCAGCGCACGAAGGGCCGGCGGCTGACCCTGCGGAAGCCCGTCTCGCACTGGCAGTTGAGGACGGTGCCCACCTTGTACGCGGGTGCTCTGAACACAGCATTCCTGACCTCTGGGGGCGGCTTGCAAAGCTCTGCTGGAAGAAAGGGCACATCAGGGGCAGAGGGTACAGGGCACTGCCAAGCTCTGCCCGCTCACTCCCACTGCTGTTCTCCTTATTCGGGTTCAGGGAACCACCTGGCAATGCTGGTGGGGTGCTCAGTCCCAGGTCTGTCACTCCCCACAGTGCTCAATGGGTTATGAGGGGCTGAGACTGAGCGCTGGCATGCACTGACCACTGAGCCATCTTTTCGGCTCCCTTGGCATACACTTTTCTCTTCCTCTGAGAAAGAAACTAGCGTTGCCACCACTGCACCCTAAGAACTGTGTGTCAGGGACAGTTTGCAGTTCAGCGTTGCAAAGGCAGTGGATAGAGGTCAGCACGGGGAGGGGCAGAGGACTCCCTGGGGAGGGAACTGAGGCAGAAGCCCACCTAGGAGACTGGCTTATAGGAACTAAAAATAGTCAGACGTTCCAGAATGAATGACTTGTGGCCGTTATTTCTAGAGAAACATGCAGAGCACATAGCCCAGTGTCTGGTAAGAGGGGCGTCTATGGGGTGGACAGAGGAAGCAGAGCAGGTGCTGCCCTTGCATGTAGCCCACCTGGCCCGGTTTCCAGCCCCACAGACAGAACCCGGAGCTCACAGGAGGGACCCCTGAACGCGGAGCCAAGAGTTGGCCCTGGTTTACACAGCTGGGTGTGGTCCCCCTTCCTCCAGCTCCCAAAGAAACAGGCACTTTCCACCCCTCTCAGCCTCGGGGGTCCCCAAACACCTCCTCACATCAGGGGCATCCGGTAGCCCTGACCACAGCAGGACCCCTGTACACGCAGTGCAGCCCCCCTGCCCCCCAGCTGTGGCTTGGAGCCCGGCTTCCTAGACATTCTGCAAACCGACCCACCAGAGACAGCTCTGAAGGGTCTTTCTGGAGCTTCAGAGCTGCCGAGACCCTCACAGTGCCCAGGAGAGCGGCAGACGAAGCGACACTCTTCTCATTGAAGCGAGGGTCAAGGAAAGGGCAGCAGGAAAAGGGATGGGAGGAACCATGGCTGGAATCGTGAGGGCCTTAAATAGGAGACAGCAAGAGGGTGAGAGGGAAGATGAGACACAGACGTCCAGTGGGACCCTCCACGAGGAAGCAGGTCTAGCCAGTGTCCACAAAAGACCTGCTTGGTTTTTTGGGGTTTTTTGTTTGTTTGTTTGTTTGTTTTTGGGTCATACCCAGTGATGCACGGGTGTAACTCTTGGCTCTGCTCTCAGGAATTACTCTTGGCGGTCCCTAGGGACCATATGGGATGCTGGGAATCGAACCCGGGTTGGCCGCGTGCAAGGCAAACGTCCTACCTGCTATGCTATCTCTCCAGCCCACAGACCTGCTTGTTTATGCTGAAAAAAGACCAAGTCACTTACAAAATAACTGGAATCATGCAATCTCAATAATAGAAAAACATTTGTGGTTAGTTTCTCTATGTTGGGAGCAATATGTTAGAAAATCCAAAATTGCTTTAAAAAGCAATGCCATGGGTGGTAGTAGCAAAAAAATCATAAAATACTCATGAAAACATTTACCAAAAACTCGGAATATCTCTAAATGTAAAAGTATGGGACATTGCCAAAATAAATGAAAGCTCTAAATAAGTAGAGAAATGTAGCATCTTTCCTGATGGGAAGATCCTTTTTTTTTTTAAGAGGTTAACTCATCATTTAAGTTGACCGATAAATTCAAAACAGTTACAAAAATCCAACATACTTTTTGTACAGTTTTGGGTCTAAACCCTCTTTCGAAATATAAAGCTTCCAGAATATCCAACAGTATTAAAAGGGAGGCTGGAGCGATAGCACAGCGGGTAGGATGTTCGCCTTACAAGCGGCCAACATAGCCAACCCGAGTTCGATTCCTCCGCCCCTCTCGGAGAGCCCGGCAAGCTACCGAGAGTATTCGATATGCCAGACACAGTAACAACAAAGTCTCCAATGAAGACGTTACTGGGCCCGCTCGAGCAAATCGACGATTAAAAGGACAAACAAGGGGGCTGGAGTGATTGCACGGAGGATAGGGCATTTGCCTTGCATGCGGCCAACCAGAGTTCGATTCCCAGCATCCCATATGGTCCACTGAACACTGTCAGGACTAATTCCTGAGTGCATGAGCCAGGAGTGAGTAATCCCTGTACATTGCCTGGTGTGACCCTCCCCCCCCCAAAAAAAAAGGACAAACAAGGGCCTCAGAGACAGTGTCAAGGGCGGGCCCGGATAAATATATCTGAGCGGGTCATATGGGATGACGGAAAGTTCCAGAAACTCTTCCTGACTCTCCTTTCCTTGTGGGCTCTGTCCTTTAGAGACACTGAAACTTTCCAGGTCTGGCTAAAGTCAGAGAGACTTGGGCCTGAGTCCTCTGCCCTGGCCTTGTCCAGTAGCTTGTAGGAGGGCGGGGCCATGGGGAGGGACTGTCTGCTCGGGTGGGGGCACCTGGGGAGCCGGGGGCTACTCCTGGCTCTGTGCTCAGGGCTTACTCTTGGTGGCTATTGTGTGGTCCCAGAGATGGATCCGGGGTTGGCTGTGGGCAAGGCAAGTGCCCCCTCCTGGACTCTCTCTCTGCCCTCTCGGCCTCAGTCTGATGAGACTGTGTCTGAGATGGTTTTATCCCTCAGAGTGTGGGGTTGTGAGAGGAGCACTGGGGTCTGCTGCAACCTGCAGAGACAGGAGGAGGGAGGAGGAGGGAGGACGAAGGGGAGGAGTGAGTAGCAAGGAAGGAAAAGGAAAGAGACAGGAGGGAGGAGAGAGGAGGGAGATGGGAGGAGGGAGATGGGAGAAGGGAGGAGGGAGACAAAAACAGGGAGGAGGGAAGGGGAGAAGGGAGGAGGGAGGATGGAGGAGGGACATGGGAGGAGGGACATGGTGGGGGAGGAGGCATGTGGGAGGAGGGACATGGGAGGGGGAGGAGGGAGGAAGGAGGAGGGACATGGGAGGGGAGGAGGGAGGAAGGAGGAGGAACATGGCATAGGGAGGAAGGAAAAGGAGGAGGGACATGGCATGGGGAGGAGGGACATGGGAGGAGGGAGGAGGGAGGATGGAGGAGGGACATGGGAGGAGGGACATGGTGGGGGAGGAGGCATGTGGGAGGAGGGACATGGGAGGGGGAGGAGGGAGGAAGGAGGAGGGACATGGGAGGGGAGGAGGGAGGAAGGAGGAGGAACATGGCATAGGGAGGAAGGAAAAGGAGGAGGGACATGGCATGGGGAGGAGGGACATGGGAGGAGGGAGGAGGGAGGATGGAGGAGGGACATGGGAGGAGGGACATGTCGGGGGAGGAGGGACATGGGAGGAGGGAGGAGGGAGGATGGAGGAGGGACATGGGAGGAGGGAGGAGGGAGGATGGAGGAGGGACATGGGAGGAGGGACATGTCGGGGGAGGAGGGAGGAAGGAGGAGGGACATGGGAGGAGGGAGATGGGAGGGGGGAGGAGAGGTCATGGCAGGCCCGTAGCTCGGGATTCCTGCAGGTTTTCTTTAGAAGGCAGAAGGAAAACACTTCTGGTCTTGCTTCGTTTTTCTTTCTAGGCCAGCCTGGCTGTGCTCAGGGCTGACTCCTGGCTCGGCTCCCAGGAATCACTCCTGGCACTGCCGGGATCTAACCTGGGTGGGCCGCGTGCAAGGCAAAAGCCTTACTTGCTGGACTATCGGTCTGCTCCAGGAAAATACGTTCTGTCCCTTAAGTTATCTATTTTTCAAGTAAAAAAAAAAGATTTTATTTGGAGGTTTCGAAGGGAAGGAGGAAGAGAAAGTGGGAGAGAATGGAGAGTAACACACTCAAGAGAGAATCTGGGCTTCTTCAAGGGCAGGGAGAACCTTACACACACACACCAGCATTAGACAGGAACGCATGAAAGTCACATCGCAAGAGGGGAGATGCGCGCGACATGCGTGCTCGGGCACGTGGGCACAAGCAGCACATCGACTCGGGCAACGTATGTGCGAACGCTTTAAATTATTTTCTAGTTTTTAAATTTTTTTCTGTGGTATGGGTCAAACATGATGACCACTTCATGCCTGTATTGCAAACCATAACACCAAAAAAGGAGAGAGAGAGAGTAAGAGAGAAGGTGCCTGCCACAGAGGCGGGGGATGGAGGGGTGGGAAGGGTGGTGGGAGGATACTGGGGACATCGGTGGTGGAGAATGGGCACTGGTGGGGGGATGGGTGCTCCATCACTGTATGACTGAAACATCATCACAAAAGTCTGTAAGTTGGAAAAAAAATTTAAAAATTAAAAAAAAAATCTTTTGTGGGGGCACACCTGGCAGTGATACGGGGGACAAACAGGCGTGTGGGGCTGAAGGAAACGCCCTCTGGGCTAGGGAGGAAGTGTGGCCCCAGCTGCCCATGGCCTCCCTCCAGACTGGGGCTGAGGCGCCGGCAGGTGGGCAGGGAGAAGGGTTTGTGGTCCAGGCGACTTTCTGCCTCAGGCTCAGGAGGTGGGAGACCGGTCAGAGCAGCTGACCCAGAGGAGGGCCAGGGTGTCCCAGGCAGCAGCTGAGGGCAGGGGCCGAGGGGCCACAGGGGAATCTCCCCCAGACACAGCAGAGTCGAGAGCCTAGCACAGGAGAAAACTGCTGTCCGGGTCTGACCTAAAGTACCTCCTCCACCCCAGACCCAAGAGAACCCCAAGGCTGCCCCGTGTCTCTACCTCCCCAGCTTCCTTGAGAAAGTTTCCTCAGAAAGGCTGGTAGGACAGTTTGGAGACAGCTGGGAGACACCCTCAGGATCAGCCAGTGGAACGCAGAGACGGTCTGGCAGGGAGCCGGGACCCCTAAGCTCCAGGACAGCCTCCAGGCCCCTGGAAGCCCCAGCCAGGCCAAGCTGCCGGGCTCTGGAAGGCTCTTAGGCCAGGCTGACTGAGCTATCTGGGTCACTGGGAGGGGCTGTGTGCGACTCAGTGAGATGCTTATCTGGGGGAGAGGGTTGCCCTCCCTGGGAGCCAAGCCCAGACCCCAGCCTCCGGCCTCTTGGCTGGGGTCCTCCTTCAGCAACGTG